GAAAGAAAAATGTTGCTCACTGTTGGCTGGCATGTAGCACTTAAAGGTTAAAGGCTCTTTACTAGGGGGCCAGGGATGGTTCGCTGTGCCGTGCCCGCGCCGTGCCGTGCCCGCGCTGCGCTGCCGGACCAGGAATGAGGAGGGGGTGCCCGTTCCCGGCCGGTGGGCTCCGGAGCTGCGGAGGGCTGGAGGAGGGCAGCCTGCGGGCTGTGGAGGAGAGCTGGCATCTCCTTTGTAGCTGAAGGCAAGCAGCACGCTCTCCAGATTTCAGGCTTCTGCTTTTCAAATCACACGTGTACAGTACCTCAGCCGAAGCACCCAGGGCACGAGCAGGACTGTGCTTTCTGGAAGAACTTCGCTAACTCCAGGAAGATTGTCTCAGTGTAAAGAGACATACAAGTGCTTCCTGCAGGCAACCTGTGCCTTCTGAATACACTGTTGTCTTTACAAGTGTTTTCTGCTTCTGCAGAAGCCTGTGAGTGACAGAGCCCTCTTTCTCCTCCACAGCAAACTCTGCAGCAGAAATGGGTGGAGTTGCGCTCTCTGCTCTTACAGGAACAGCGCTTGCTGCACGGTACGTCCTCCTTTCCGGCTAGGAAACCACAGCGCTGCCGAGTCCTTCTGCGGAAACGCTGTCTGATCAGTAAAAAGCAATTCTTTAATCTGATTTTCGTTTGCTTTCTTTTTCCCCTGTTAATGAAGGTGTGGGGCTGGCCCCTGGGAAAGCCTTCTCTCCAGGGCTAATGAATTTGGGTGCTGCTTGACTAATGCAGGCCAAAGGCTCTTTTGCATGAGTTCTAGGAAAGGAGTTGATGTGGGTTGCAAAGTTTTTTTCCGTTCTTATTTTGGACTTACCAGGGGAGAGTTTTGTTTGCTTGGTTTTTTTATGGGTTGCCCAGGGAGCAGCTTTGATTCTGCATGTGGGGGAAGCAGGGGCAGAGAGCACCCCACAGCCGGGAAGCAGCTTCCCACGAGGGAAAGGGGCTGCTCCCTGCGCTGAGATGCTGGGCATGATGTTTCCCTCTGCCAGCGTGGCACAGGCGTCCTGCTCTCCGGCCTCGAGCAGATCTGGTAAATAATGCTCCTCTTCGGCTTCTCGTTCCAGGGGAGGTGAACGACAACGCTCTGCTGGGCGCGCTGGAGCTGGAAGAGTCCAGCTTGCTTGGTGGCTGCAGCACGCCGGGACCCCTCTTTCCGATGAAGCCTCGCTTCTCCAGCGAGAGCAGCTCCCGCAGCCGGCTGAGCTCAATGACCGTGGACAGCGAGGACAGCTTCTACCAGAGCGGTGCCTTCGAGGATTCAGCTGCGGAGAGCCTGAGCCGCCAGTCGAGCGTGGATGACGACTGCTTCTTCCCCAGGGACGGGGACGGCGCTGCCGGGAGGTCCTCCCTGCGGAGGAACCGCAGCATCAGCCTGGCCAGCAGCGGGTCCATGTCCCCGCTCTGGGAGGGGAGCAGCTGCACCAGTAGTTTTGGGACCCTCCCGCGGAAAAGCAGGAGATCCAGTGTCCGAAAGCATCTTTTGAAATTCATTCCAGGCCTTTACCGGGCAGTGGAAGAGGAAGAAAGTCGGGTCTGACATCGCACTGTCATCCTTGATGTCTGGGGCTCTGCCCGGGGGACTGCTGCGTGGCCGGGGGCCGAGGGCGGCAGCTCACCCAGAAGCACGCAGCGGGTGAAGCACGGTGGCACTGCACGGCAGTCCTGCAGAGAACAGTACTGATGATATTTTAAAAGTTCTGGGGTTTTTAATTATTTTAATTTTTAATCAGAGCACACCGTGGACCTCTTCATTGATGTGAAAAATGACTAACTCTGAGATGTGAAGAACCTTTGCAGAACTTCCTCAGCATACTTTAGTGTTAATAAGAGTTTTTAATTGAATGCAAACTTGACAGCTATTTATTTCCTATTACCGAAGTCATAGCCTTCCAAAGGTCTTTAATAAAGCAAGTGCTTCTACTAAAACCAATGACAGAGTCCTGTTAGAAAGAGGATGGAGCCCCGAGCGTACAGCAGAGAGAGACCCTGGGCAGTAACGTTTTGAAACAAAGGGCAGAGATGTACCCGTGGTTTGCGGTGGGTGATTTACGTGGGTGTGCTGGAGCGGGCCAGGGGCACACTTGCCAGCTCCCCCGGCACGTGCGTGGCCGTCAGGACCCGTGCCGGCCGTTTCGCTGTGGGGCTGCCCGCGCCGGCTCCCGCTGCCTGTGCAAGGCCATTGCCCTGAGACGCTGCTGCTGCTCGAGGACGTGCACGCTCGATGTG